TAGTGACTAGCAGTGGAATCCAGAACACGCGTTTCATCTTATTTGTAACTGTTCAGCTGGATATATTTTACATCTTAGAGTTGATATTCACTCTAGGACTTGAATCCAGTACCTTTCGCTTCCATTTAGCTACTGAGTCTTGATAGTCACTTGTTTGTGCAATGGAGTGAACTTTAAATTCACTTAATATTGTTTGTTTGAAGTATGAATATACTCATTGATGTTTTGGACTGCAACTGGTCAGTCTTTAATTCATCTAAGTAATAATTTTAATTTAATAAAATATTCCAATTATGACATAGAAGAAGATAGATCAATTCAATGATATGCTGCTCTTTTCAGTAAATTCATTATCAAAATGTTACTATCATAAATACATAATTTTTCTTTTCAAAATGATAATTAGTAACATATTTGTAAACAATAGCAATAATTTATCAGAAGGGGTTTCACGAATATTATGATAATTTAAATAGATGAGATCATGAGTCAGTTGAAGTTAAACCACCATGGAAAACGTTGAAGCTCTGGACAGCCGTTTCTTCCGATTGTGGAACTCCTCAGCAGTGTGTAAACACGGTCACTGCTCGCGATATTTGAACCCAGGACCTATCAGTCTTGAGTGCGAGCGCTTAGCCTCTAGACTACTTAGCTGGCCGACACCCAATGGTGTTATTGTCCCTGGTTTGAATCTCGTGAGGCGTGATGATGGATGTGCATTGCTGCGGAGTCTGAAAATAGGAAAAAACGGCCGTTCACTGCTCACAGGTTTTCCATGATCGTCTATCTTTAATTGACTCATGGTCTGAACTATTGAAATAACATTAGTTTGTTAATTATAGTAGAACAGAAGCCAAATAATTAATATTGTGTGGAGAAATTTTAATTTATTTCATATGTATATTATAGCAAGTCACATACTTTCGAGTCATTTACACAACAACAACTTATCCTATACCATAGTACTTTTATTATTGTTGCACTTGTATGAATATGTATGCTTCAGCATGTCTTATCACCTATATACATATTCACCTTGCTAGCTTCAGTGTTAGTCACTTAGATAATTCGATGTTGTATTCATTTTCCTATGTAGATATATGTACATTCTAATCCTGTTCAAAGACTCACTCACTCATTTACTTTTCAGCACTCGCACATCCTTCTTGTTTAATGTGCCTAAACATAACCAACACTTCATATTCGTCTTCTGATTTATATACTGTTGAGCATTATCTAGTAACGATTATCAATATGAACAGTACACGAGGTATATAAATAATATTTCAAATACTGACCATCACAATGTATAATACTTAACATGATAAGTGTATTTAGAAATATCAGAAGGGGGTGTCTTGGAGATTTTAGTAATTTCATATAGTTGAAATCATGAGTCAATTGAAGCTAGACCGTCATGGGAAACCTGAGAGCACTGGACGACCATTTCGTCTTATTGTGGTTGAAGTTAGGCATTATCACCATTGGATGCCGGCCAAATCATTGGTCTAATGGTTAAGCGCTCGCACGAGAGACTGGTAGGTCTTAGGTTCGAATCTCGCGAAGTGAGATCGTGTATCCTCACTATTGAGAAGTTTCAGAATAGAATAAATCGGCCGTCCAGTGATTCCAAGTTTTCCATGGTGGTCTAGCTTTATGATTTCAACCATATTTTAAAAATAATCGAAAAACAGCTTTAACTTGTTCAAGCATATAACTTCAATAAAAAGGATTGAAAATACATTGTTTCTTAAAAAAAAACAACAAAAGAATAATATAATGATACAAGAAGAAGAAGAAAGAAAGAAAGAAAAGGGAGGTTGACTACGTATATAGTGAACGTTTTCCAACAAAGTTTTCAATAAACACAACATATTTGACAGATATTAATTTGCCTTCTAGATTCTTTTAAATACTGAAGTTTGTTCTCATTATGTAACTGTCAAATTTGTCAATGTTCTAAAGGAATATTGTACGTAGAAAAACAATCAACAGATAGCAACACTGTTTTCAAATAGAAAAAAAAGGGTTACAATGAAAATATTACATAACAAACAGGTAGAATAACATAACATGGGACAACAAAACAAAAATATGTATCAACTTGGTCTTGAACTTTGTACTTTTAAGATATTGGTAATAGATTGTAAGGGTATTTGTCCTGAAATAATAAATTATTTTATAGTTGAATTCATGAGTTAATTGAAAGTAGACCATCATAGAAAACTTGGAAGCACAAGACGGCCGTTTCGTCCCATTATAGGATTCATCAAAAGTGCATATCCACGATCCCACCTCGTAAGATTCGAACCCAGAACCGGTCAGTCTCGCACGTGGGCACTTAAAAACGTTAGAACACTGAGTTGGCCAGCATCCAACGGTGTAAATGTCCTGGGTTCGAATCTCATGAGGCGGGAACGTGGATGCGTACACCTGAGGAGCCCTACGATAAAACGAAACAACTGTCTTTTGCTTTCAGGTTTTCCATGGTGTTCTAGCTTTAACTGACTCATGATTTCAATGATATAAAATTAAAAAATCTCTGCAAAACCCCCCTTCTGATAATAATCATATGCTTACTAGTGACTGGCTCCAAGAGGTAATTCCGGGAGTTCTAGTGAGAAGCAGTGATCAATGGAGTTCAATCAGGTATGTTGTGAAATAGTAACTCCCTGAAGACAATTATGGACGGTTGCTCAATCTCGTGCATCGGTTTAATTTAGACATTAACACCGTTGGATACCGGCCAGCTGTATGGTCTAGATGTTAAGCACTCCCACTGATAGGTTCTAGGTTCGAATTCCGTGAGGCGTGATCGTGTATGATGATCTAAAACATCAATGCATTCATTAAACAGCGATCTTAGTTATCCATAATCTACAAATATGCTCTACCTACATCATTTGTTTATCTGGTTTACAAAAAAATCTAGTTCAATTTCGTTCGCTATTTTTTTTTTTGATTGGGTAAATTGTTGGTATTAAACTTGTCTTTTAAATGATAGAAATCTATGTTACTCACAGTAAGGTTCTAATTCATGTCAGTGGAGAAGATTTGTAGCTCAGTTGGATGATTTTGATGGAATCTGAGCTAGATGGTTTGGTCGTGGTCGTCTTTTTGAAAGACATCATCAGCACAAACGTCGGGGGGAAGTGAAGCCAATATTGCAAAATTATCAGTTATATTAATTTGAAAATCTTATTTCAATTAGTTATAATCGGATTTAGTAAAATGGGATTTTTCGAGATGTACTAAAGTGCTAGGTTTATTTCTTAGACGATCTTTTAAATAATATTACTGTTGTGACTTTAAGTCCGGTTAGTTATCATATGACTCATCCACCAATTAAAACACGACTTATACAATCATAACGCTGTGCCAAAACCAATGACGTTCGAAATAATTAGTTTAAACATTCATTTGGAATTTATTGTTATGCATTTAAAAGGCCATCGTCAATTTGTTGTGATCTTATGTACAGCGTTCTACAACGTGATTCATCTACCAATCAAAATATAACTTGTTTAATCTTAACACTGTGCGAAAAAATGACGTTCAACCAGTATGAGCAATTTAGCTTCTTTATTGATCCTTTGTCTGCCTAGCTTGTTCCCATGAATCCAGAACATTAATAACAGCTTCAATTATACAAATAATTTATTTCAAACATACTATGACATACAGACCATATCATACCATAAAACAGAAAAATAACGTTGTACAAAATCAAGTCAGATGTAGCTGTGATCGTGGGAGACAGTAACCAATAAACGGAGTATAATTTAGGAACAGTAATACGTACAGTAATAATTCATAGATCAAAATGAAGCTTATAATAAGATGAATATAGATATACACAATCTAGTGACTCAATAGTTAGACCATAAGAATATACATAGAATAATAGTCTATTAATAGGTCCCGGGAGTTACCTGAACTTATATCTTCATTAAGATATAACTAAACCATTCCAGTATATTCAATTTTATGAATGATTTATTTTTTTTTTAAAGAGATAGCAACTAATTATTAATCATATTGACAAATCATTCAAGTATACCCATTAAGTCAGATTTATGAAGTGACTTTATAATAAATAAAAAAAGATAAATGTGTTCGGATGTTTATCATTTAGGGTCATGTAAATTGGCGACTTCTTAATTAATCAACTTTCAAAATGATTAAAATTTCAAAAAAAAAAAGAAGAGAAAACACCGCAACAACAACAACGACAACACCGTTTCCATAGTTATGACCCTAAAATAAGTAAAACTGGTAATAGTTCATTCTTAAAAAAAAGTCTATAACTGTTGCTTATTCTTGCGTTTTTCTTTTTCCTCTTTTTTTTGAAAAAAAAGAAAAAAAATGCTTTTTCTTTTTTTTTCTTCCAAAAATTTTTTTTGTTTTAAAGAAAGAAAAACAAAAAAAATCTGTCAAATTATAAAATGACCTAAATATTTTTCCCTCAAAAAAAGGGGGGATATATATATATATATAAATATATAGATGTATTTAATGTTTCGTTTCTTTCGTTTCTTCTTCTTTTTTTTCTTTTTCAGAGGGAAGAAAAACACAAAAAGAAAAAAAAAAGAAAGAAAAACGTCGTAAAATTGAAGTTTTACTATTGAAAGTAATAAATTAGGTCGATTCTAATGAAAAATGGTTATGGGTATATATACATAGATATAGATATTCTTCAAAGGTAATATTAATTTGACATTAGATGTATATCTATCTATCTATCTAACTATCTAGATATGGTATCACTATGAGAATAAGGATTTGGGAAATCTTTTTTAATGGAATAAATGATGAATGGTTTATCACTGTTGAATGTTAATTAGTTCAGTTTAACTTTACTGAAATAGAAAGAGTTAACTATATATACACATATGAATCTCCTTTTTTTTAAGGTTATTTATAGAAGTTCTTTATATTAACTTTTCATGATAGATATCTAGCTTAGTTTATTATATATGAATATATAGTTATGATATTGTTTATAATGGTGTTTGTAAATCTTCTTTAGCGGCCAAAATTGTGACGGTGTCAGATGAAGATTTTCGAGGACATTTTTTGCTAGAACTATCGTGATCTAACATAATTTTGAATTTGATTTCTAATATACCTTGTGGAAGTTGAACATGACATACAGTCTTATCAATGTAATTGTTAACTGGATCTCCAGAATGGATTATGAGTTCATCACTAAACTTCATAGCTTTCGCTTTCCCATCCTTAATTTTACCAGAAACGATAACTTCAGCACCTGTTGCTCCAGATTTCATAATGAATCGAAGTATACCATAGTATGCTTTCCGTACAGGTAAACTATATGTCAGTTTGTATTTAAGTGATTCTGCTTGCGCGATAGCGCTCAGACCACGGAAAGTCACCTTTTTAGCAAAAAGTTCCAAAGTACTGGCAGCAAATCCGAAGAGCTTTTGCAAAACCGAGGTTAGTTCTCGGATACGGCGTGAACCCTCACCAAGAACACACTGGGTTTTTGTAGCTAATATGATGACTTCCGTGTATTAACGGCTATCACGAACTTGCAAATCACTATAACCGCCGTCAGCTAATTCACGTTTAAGGAACTCATCTAACTCAGCCTTAAACACCCCAGATTTTATAAACTTCCGATTCAGATATATTTTCCCAGTATTGTATGCATAAACTTTGGCTACTCAAACGTAATGCTTAATATCAACAACGTGTAAATATCTGTTCTTGTAAATAATCGTACGTGGACTCGTATTTAAAAGATAGAATAAGTCATCGAAGAATGATAGAGAATTTTCTGGAATCATCGAATTCACATCAACTTGTGGGAGAGAACAAAAATATTCCGTCCAGTGGAGAAAGAAATCAAGAATAAGAACTGAAAGTGGATAAGACACACATTAAGGAAATCACCCAACTATATCACAAGTCAAGCCCTCACATGGAATGCTGGAAGGCTTAAGGAGAAGAAGAAGACCAAAGAACACATTACGCTGAGAAATGGAGACAGATATGAGAAGAGTGAACAAACACTGAATAGAACTAGAAAGGAAGTCCCAAGATAGAGTGGGTTGGAGAATGCCGGTCGACGGCCTATGCTCGATTGTGAGTAACAGGCGTAAGTAAGTAAGTAAGTAGTGACAACGTGACTAGTAACATTAAAGAACAGGAGACCGTATCAATATAAAGTGAAAACTAATTTGTTATTCACATTAACTAAACTGAAATTCAGTAAAGGAAAATGTAAATAATGAACCTTTTAAAGACAATCATTAACAAACTAAGACTCGAAATTCCGCTATTATTTGTGAAATAAGATTTAAAACTTTGATTTTGTTTGTAAAACGAGATGATAAAGTCAATCTGAACTAAAACAAAAGTATCAATGTTAAATTATCCAGTATAATGAACTCAATAACTTTAACCAATCAAATTATAATTTTGACCTATAGACGATTATTATACAATTTACTGTGAAGGTAACATGGTGGTTGGAGGTGGTCAACAGTAAACCCTGGATCCGGGTTTCGTGCTACTTGGCAATCGTCAGCAAGGTGTACCTGTAATCTTGACGGAACTGACGCTTCCTAGTGGATTCGATCCTGTGTCACTCAGCTTCACAGTCAGAGACGTTACCACTGAGCTATTCGGGCCGCGACCGACCTCCTGTAGGACTGAGATCTAATCACACTTGATTGATCACCACCCAGTGATCAATCAATTGTGACAATTTACTGTTCCCAAATTATGTTCGGTTTATTAATTACTGTCTTTCACATTCACAACCACTTGTTGGCTTGATCTTGTACAAATATTATTTTCTGTTTTATCGTGTGATATGGTCCGTTTCAGCTTGTATATAAACCAAATATGTTTAAAATAAATGATTCATATCGTGGAAACTGTAATTTGTGTTCTAGGTTCAACTGGCAAGGCTAGGAAAATAAAAGAGCGATAAAAACGCTAGACTGCTCATATCAGTTTAACGTCATTGCTTTGGCACAGTGTTAAGATTATATAGATTGTATTTCGACTGTTGGATAAATCACGTGATAAAAAGTCGGGCATAAAATCACAGAAGGGTTTTTTTTTATTCTTTATTTTCAAGAAGTTTTTTTTTTCATTTTTTAATAATCAACCATTAAACTGTCTATGATGTAATCTCCATGATGTAATCTTTACTGTGGTTAGTTTAATTAGACCATAGATACGATAAATTCGTAAACTAAGCAGCAACAACTACAACAAAAAATTACACAAATAAAACTTTTGTGATAATGAATGACAGTATATTTATCCTCTTCTTCTACTCTTTCTAACTAATAAACGTAAGTTCAAATTTCTCTTTAAGTCATAACAATAGAAAGAACCCGACAAGATTTAGCTTAAATTAAAGTTCACTTAGTATTGCTTGTTTGAATCTTCCCATCGGTGTGTTAGGACTGAAACTGGTCAGTCTCTAATTGGCATATGTGCATACTGTGCGTATTGCCTCAATATAGCCTTGATTCACAAGCATTGTAAGCAAAGATGGATATTGGTAGCAGTGAAATTCAAGACGTGAGTTTCGTCCTGTTTGGGACTCGTCAGCTGGATATACCTGCATCTCAGAGTTGATGTTCACTCTGGGACTCGAACCCAGTATCCTCGCTTCAAACTCCATCGCGTTATCCACTCGGCCACACACACGCACAGTATGCACATATGCTAATTAGAGACTGATCAGTTGCAGTCCTAACACATCGATGGGAAGATTCAAATAAACAATACTAAGTGAATTTAAACTTCACCCCATTGCACAAGCAAGTGGCTATCAGGACTCAGTTGCCGAGTAGATAACGTGATGGAGTTTAAAGCAATAGGTACTGGGTTCGAGTCTCAGAGTGAACATCAACTCTGAGATGCAGGTACATCCAGCTGACGAGTCCCAAATAGGACGAAACGCGGGTCGTGAATTCCACTGTTAGCCACTATCCATCTTTGCTTAAATTAAAGTGTTTTCTTTTTAGTATAATGTATTTGAAGATCTCATTTCTGAAAAATTACTGACTACTCAATTATGATGCTTAATAGTAAGCATACATTTTAGTTTCACAGTGAAATAATATAGTTAAGGTGATATCTATGAAAGATTACTGAGTAACTTGATGGTTACATATTTCAAGAGTTTTCATTATGCTTGATGGTTTGTTATCTTCCACAGAAGTAGTAGTGGGCTGTTGCTGACGGACATTGAGTATCTTGTTTAGACAACTCTTCATAAATACTTGTACCGTTTTAACGATGGTTGTGGTAATTGCAGAAAGAAGTTTCAACTTCCTCCGTATAGTATAACTGACTGTGTTCACATTAGTATGGAAGATTGTGATTTTGGTATTGGTTGACAGACTATTGTGTTTGAGTTGCATATGTTGTCCAATTGTAGGAATGTTGTTCTTTCCTTTGTCAATTCTCTTCTTTACATGTTCATCTGATGCTCTTTTTCATCAAGTGTGATTGAGTCAATGTTTACCTGTGTTGTATTTGAGGATGTTTCTTTTTTGTTTGTGTATGTTGATGTGTGCTGATGCAGAGACTGCTGCTGCTGCTGCTGTGGCTACACTTGTTGTGCCCACCTGGATTTGTTGGTGTGTATGGGATAGAAAAGCCAGATCATCTACGAGGTTTTAATTATCTAGTTAATTGGGATCTGTCCATTATAATGCAGTCAACCATCAGAAGAGAGAGAATGGGAGAGAGTAGGCAACCTTGTCTTACTCATCTGCTCACTTCCAATGCATTTGTCAGCTGTCCTCCATGCACAACTTTGTAGTGTAGCTCATTGAATTAATTCCGTATGATAGTGATAATTTTCTCAGATACTCACTCCATTGTGTCGAAGAAATTTCCCACTGTCTAACATTTTCTCATAATCAAGGAAGTTGATTTATATATAGTGACGAGTTGCATTCAATGATGATTCATGCTTCAAATGAATTCAGTTTCAAAACTTGATTAAATTTAACTATGTTCAATTATTTGGTAACATTTCTGTATTTCAATATGGGCAACTGGTTGGGAAAATTACCTGAACATTAGGTTTATATAAACTAAGAAAATGTTATCACCGTAAAAAACAAAATTTTTCCCCGTTGAAATATCTCCCTTCTACTTTTGCTTTTCTTTTTTAGTAAAAGGGTTAAGATCATGGAGTTAGAAAAATGAATTGATCCTTACTTACTTACTTACTTAAGCCTTTTACCCTTCATTTAGTAGTATAGGCTACACACCAGCATTTTCCATCTAACCCTGTCCTGGACAATCGTTTCCAGTTCTTTACAGTTGTTATTCATCCTTTACATATCTGCTTTTATTTCCCGCCATAATATATTTTTTTGGCCTTCTTCTTTTCCTCTTTCCTTCACCATTTCAATTTAGCATTTGCTTCGTGATGCAGTTCAGTGATTTTCTCAATGTATGTCCAATCTACTTCTAACGTCTTTCCTTAATTTCCTCTTCAGCTGAAACCTGCTAGTTTATCCTCTCCAATTAAACGCTGTTGCTGATAGTATCCAACTAGTCAATGTTGATTATATTGCATGTAAAACTGTTTATAAATACTTGTACCTTCTTGACGATGGTTATAGTAGTTCTCCACGTTTCAGCTCCATACAGTAGGATTGACTGTCTTGACGTTTGTATTGAAGATTCACACTTTGAAATTATTTGACATTTATTTTGAGTTCCATATGTTCTTCATTTCTAGTAATGCTGCTGATTCTTTTTTATTACAATTCAATAGTTTCAAATAATGATATAAAAAAAATCTTCATCCTGTTATCATTGATGATCATGACATATCATATTTCTGATATTTTCAATCCTATATGATCTACAAGAGATGATATCATATTATGTATCTTCTTACAAATCATTGTTTATATAACACAATTATAGACAAGTTATACATGGTTAACATGTTTTATAACATGAGATGATTGTTTGTATTCTGTGATTCCAAAAAAAAGAGAAGAGAATGACTACTATTCTAAGAACTATTGTCATGGTGAATGTCAATTGTCTTCTTCCATAAAACAGATGGTCATAATCAAACTTATCAGTTACCTTCAACAACAACAAAAAAGAATAAATTAAATATTAGATAACAGCTTGTGCTATATATTGCTTGAAAGACAGTTGTGTTTTTGTTTGAGTTTCATATGTTGTTTAATTGTAGGAATGCGATGCTTCCTTTAACAATCCTCTCCTTTGTGTCATCAACCGACCCGTCTTCTTCATCGATGAT